TCAGATGTGTGATTTGTAAATATTTTCTCTCATTTTGTGTGTGTGTGTGTGTGTGTGTGTATGTTTAAGGTGAGTCCTTGCTATGTTGCCCAGGCTGGTCTTGAATCCCTGGGCTTAAGCAATTCTTCTCAGCCTCCTGAGTAGCTGGGAGTACAGGTGTGCACAACACCACCCAGCTAGGTTGTCTTTTCACTGCTTTGATAATGTCTTTAATGCAGAAAAGTTTTCATATTTGTTGAAATCCAATTTATCTATCTTTTCTTCTGTTGCTCATGTTTTTGGTGCCATCAAAGAATTCATTGCCAGATCTGAACTCAAGAAGATTTACCCATAAGTTTTCTTCTGAGTGTTTTATTGTTTTTACTCTTATATTTAGATCATCAGTCCATTCTGAATTATTCTTTGTATATGGTATGAGATAGGGGAGTCTAACTTCATTGTTTTGCCTGTGGATATCTAGTTTTCCCACTGTCATTTGTTGAAAAGCCTGCTCTTTCCTCAGCAAGGGGTTTTGGCATTCTTATTGAAAATCAGTTGGCCACAGATGTATGGGAGCCAGGCACTTTTAACTGTGAGAACTTTGGCAAATCACTTAATTTTGTACTTTTACTTTCTTACCTATAAAATTGGGGCAGTCACCTCTTTATCTCAGTGGTCTTGTCTGGATTAAATGAGATCACATATGGGAGGATCATAGTATCTGGCACAATGAATGTAAAGTTGGGCCTTGCTACAAGAAAGAGTATCAGAGTAAACAGTATGACATCCATCGCCTCCATTCCCTTTTCTTCTGTCTCCAGGATGCAGGAGACCTGAGACAGAAATACCTATTTTTACCTCAGCTATTTGCCCAACAGTATACTTATATTGAACTGGAAGTCAATACTACCCCCCGGCAGCTTTGGGCTCCTCATGCTTCTCAGTCAACAGGCTAAGAAGGGAGTTTTGGTATTGGTGGGGGAGATTGATCTAGATTACCAATGGGAGATTGGACTACTTTCCACAATGGAGGGAAGGAAGAGTTTGCCTAGAATGCAGGAGATCCTGTAGGCATCTCTTGGTATGACCATGTCCTGTTATTAAGGTTAGTTGGGAACTATAATAACCCAATCCAGGTGGGACCAAGGTGTAGGTTACCCTCCAGGTAAGTAACCAAGACCTGCTGAGGTGCTTACTGAAGGCAGGGTGTGTGTGTGTGTGTGTGTGTCTGGAGGAGATGGGCCAGTAGGGGCATGCCCTAGAAGGGTGCATCCGCCCTGCAGCCCCCTCTCTTTCTTTCTCTCTCCTCACCCCCCCCCCCTTCTCTTTCCCTCCTTACTGCCATGAGGGGAGCTGCTTTCCTCTGCTGGGCCCTTCCCCCATGATGTGCTGCCGCACCTTGGGCCTAGAGCAACGGAGTTGGCTGTTTATGAACTAAGACCTCTGAAACAGTGAGCCAAAATAAACTTTTCCTCTTCTAAGTTGTTTTTGTTGAGTATCTTGGTTGCAAAAGCTGACTAAAACACCCCTGGACAAAGATGGCGAGAGGAAGCACTTACATAGAAATGCAGGCAAGCAAAGAAAGTAGTGATCACTCTTTGGTAACTGATCCAATAATTCAGCAAACATTTGCCTCATCCTGACTTTGTGCAAAAATATCTGCTAGGTTTTGGAGATACACATGCAAAAGGCCACTCCCTGCCCTCCCATAGCTCAGTCTAGAGGTAGATTGTTAAATAGGCACTTAGAAAACAGTGTGAGGGGCTGGGGATGTGGCTCAAGCAGTAGCGCGCTTGCCTGGCACACGTGCGGCCTGGGTTCGATCCTCAGCACCACATACAAACAAAGATGTTGTGTCCGCCAATAACTAAAAATAAATAAATATTAAAAAAAAAAAAAAGAAAACAGTGTGATATGTTCTAGATAGACTCAAGCAAATAGAGTTCTGAGAGTGTGTGAGAAGATGATTTTAGCCAGAGGATTCAGAGAAGGCTTCTGAGGGAAAAGGGACACTTGATCCGGGTATTAAATGACTTATGGGCAGGAATATGCAAGGTGGATAAGAGGGGAAAGTGTTAGCACAGGAGGCCTCAGATACACAGTTCTGAAGACAAGAATATAAGTTTTGGGTTCTAGGAGATGAAAACTATTCCCCGGTGCTTGGAACATAGATTGAGTTGAGGGTAGGGTTAGAAAACGTAGATGGCTATTGGAAGCCATTGGTACAGTACAGGGAAGTACTATGGTGAGATATATGTTTTGGAGATCAATAGGGAGACCAGAGTGTAAAATGGATAATTAATAGTAGAAAGAGGGGGAGAGAGGCAGTGAGAAGAATCAGGATAAACATGAGGATGGAGAGGAGGGGGAGTGTTAGGTGGATTATGACAAATCAGATTTGGGAGTGTGGGAGAGAAGGAGCCTAGGATATAACTTTCAGATTACTGACTTGAGGGACTTGGTCAGGGGGCCATTCACCCAGAAAGGAACACAGGTATGAGGACAAAGTAAGAGAAGAAAAAATGGTATTTAGTTTGGCAGGTGAATCCAGATGGCGTTATCCAATAGACAGACTGTCTTTGAGACTAGAATATAAAACAGTTTGAGCTGGAACATGGGTGAGTATGAAAAGCACACATTTTTGTCTAAAGTGAGAAGTGGGTTTCATTTTGCTTTGTTTTGTTCTTGACAATTAAAATGTTAATGAACTTAATTTTAATACTAAAAATACAAAGAAAAAATATAACCCATAATTCCACTGTTCAAACAACCCCTGCTGGAAGGGAAGGAGGATAATATGTATTGTTAGAAAACACAAGCAATTTAGAAAAAGTTTAAAAAAGGAAAAGTTCAGGTCTTGCTCCATCCTTAATCACTGTAAACAATTTCCTGTGTTTAAGAAAACCAAATTTCTGCTCAATCCCATATATCCCCACAGGGACCCTGCCTTATACTGTGTTTAAGAGGTTTATTGTATTGAACATATTAACCTTCTCATTGCTTTGCTGGGCCTCACAAGCCATCTGTACTGGTAGGATGGACCTGTGAGTTTGCTTAGGGAAAGGCAGGTAGTGGGCTGGCCCAGGGTAGGTGTGCAGTACAGTATAACTGAATGAACTGTTGCTGCATTTGGAAATTTGGAGAGTCTCTGCCTGCAAGTCCAGTTGGTTAAGTGACTCATTCAGTAAATGTTTCCAGAGTCCAGACTAAATGTTCAGTGGTGTGTGTGTGTGTGTGTGTTGGGGGTGGGAGGACAGAGGACTCAGCTCCTGGCCTCACTGAAGGGCAGAACTGAAAAGATCAAAGATCTTCCAACCTTCTTACCTTTGAGGGGAAACCGAGAACTAGTATGAGGTTATGTTTTGGCTAAAGCCACATGAACTGTTGGCAGTAGAGCCAGTACTGGTACCTCAGAAGAGAGAAAGAAAGAGCTAGAGAGTGCTACTGGTTAGTGGTTAGTGAGCTACTCTTGCTTCTTTCTACCTCTTTTCTCCTCCTGCCATAAAAAGTAGCAGCAATTCCCAGCTCCAAATCCTTAGACAAATCCTTAGACAGGCAAGATCCTGGAGATGCCTCATGCAGCCCTTGTTCCTATAAGAGGCCCAGATTTTGATGCTCATTCTGCCATACCCTACCACGATGCTGCCAGCCAGGCACACATCATCCCTCCTTTAAATGTAGGGGTGAGTGTAACTAAAACTCCAAGGTTGTTCTTACCATTATTCCTCTTTGTAGGCCACTACGTTTAATAAATTACAGGAAATTAAATCTTATGATTTTTGGTTCTAACATCCTTGTTTTCAAGATTCTGGGAATGCTGCTTGGTGTGTCTCATTCTACTGCAGAAGCCTATGCTATAAATCTCACTTTTGCAGTAGTAAGAAGCTTCACATCCATTTTTCAATTTGAGACCAAGGACAAAGAGACCAGACCCAAAAAGAGTGCCAAGTCAGACACCAGCTAACTGGACAAAGCCGGAGGGTAGATGACATTAGAGACTATTTCAGGGTCCACACTGGATCCTTCAGTAGCTCTTGCAGATAGGCCAGGCCTGATGAACAATCCCATTTTACACAGGAGGAAACTGAGGCTCAGGAAGGGGATCTGAGCCATTGCTTCCAGTCACGGTGAAGGGTTTTGTTTGTTTGTCCTTTTCTTTTGGTCTGGGGATGAAATCCAGGCCTCACGCATATAAGGCAAGTGCTTTACTCACTGAGCTTTACCTTCAGCTGGGACGTCTTCTTCTTTGTCCAGTGCTCTTCCTGTATGTTGGGCAGGGCCCCCTGAGACACTGCTGTATGTGCAGGAGCCCAGAAGGCAGGAGGAACTGGGTACAGGTCCCAGAGGCACTTTGAGACCCTCTTGCCTGAAAGGGACTCTGACCAGTGGAAAACGCGTGCCACAAAAGCAAAACGTGATAAAGTGGGCTGTGAGGTCTAGGTTGGGTCCCAGCTTTGCTGATGACTCGCTATAAATCTCCGAGAGCGGGTTGGATTCTGCAAGAAAACTGTCAAGCACTTTAATATCTGTTACCTCTGCGTTGGCATCTATGGCGTTCTCTTTAGACCCGGGAAAAACCCGACCTGCAGAGGTGATGGATCCTGTCCGAGGCCACTGGGAGAGGCGGGGAGGAAGCCGGGTCGATCCGGGCTCCGTGGACGCTCAGCTTGCTGGCTGTCGGTATAGTGCCCAGACTCTCCCTCCCGCTGCGCCACTCCTCAGTCCAACCGGGGTCTGTGGCCAGAGAGCCGCAGACCGAGCAGGGCTCCAACCGGCCGCCGCCTGTCAAACCCTCCGCCCAGCCCCTCACCGGGCCCCGCCCAGGCCCCCAGGCGAGGAGTCCCGCCCGCGCACTGCGATTGGCTTCGGCTGGGCGGCTGCGGTGAGCCAGTGGCCCGAGCGACTGTCGGGAAGCTGTCGACCCGGCCCGGCCCGCCTCCGGGGTGCTGCCCCGCCCCCGGGGTGCCGCCCCGCAGGACGCGGCGGCGGCGGCGGCGGTGGCGGCTGCGGGGGCTGCGGCGCCAGAGGAGGCGCGCCGAGCCGTGCGCCCCGCGAGCTGCAGCGGCCGCTGCGAGGTGAGAAGGGGCGCGGCCCGCGGCCTGCGGAAAGGGCGGGCGCCAGGGCCGGAGATCCGAGGCTGGGAGTACCAGCTTTGCCCCAAGTACAGGAGCTTTAGGATGGCGCGAGGAGCGCCGAGGGGAAAGGAGAGTTTGGGGGTCCGGGCCCGTACTCCAGGACGGATCATGGGAAGACAGAAGCTCCGGCGAGGAGGGCTCCAGCGCGCGCGCGTGTCGAGAGCGTGAGACTGTGTAGCTGTTAGCGTTGCTGTATCTGAGCGTGTGAAAGAGTTTGTGTGGCACATCGCGTCCCCGAGTGCGCACTGACTGGGGTGTGCGGTGTGCGTGGGAGCCGGCGTTCACCGGCATTACTGACTCCGTGTGGGTTTGCGCGCGACGGTCTTGTTTTCCTAATACGCGCAGGAATGTGCGTGTCCCGGGGTGCGCGTGATAGGTTTGCGCAGCGCGGATGAGCTCCCATTTTCCGACTACCGTTTTCTGGATTTGGGGGAATCACCAGTGAGTCTCAGAGGATCAGCGCCCAGGATTCCTGAGTACGCGGTCAGCCGCTTCTGCGCTGAATTCGGCGCCGCAGCGCCCTGGAGGTGCGCAGCCATTGACCCACCCGGAGCGATCTCCGCTGCTTCGCCGTATCCCTGCTCTGTGACTTCTGTCTCCGCTGGCTCCCTGTCCCGCTAGAGGACTATGGACAGGAGCCCTCCGCTTCAGGCCTCAGTTTCACCATTCGTTCTAAGAGGGCTGGTCGCGGTGGAGGCGGATTTGGGTGGGAGGGCCCAGGGGGCGTCACTGGAATGCGCGGGTGACTATGGTCGTCCCCAAGTTTGGGATCTTGAAAGCCATTGCTGCGCGGACTAAGAGGCTTCGCATCAGGTGAGTTAGGGTTGAGGTAGGTGTGGTGGCGCAAAGCTATTTGAGACCTGAGACCTAAACCGTGGGGGCAGTGAACTGCCAAACTTGGGCCCAGCAAGAAAAGAATCTGCTTCCCTCATTCTAATGCGCCTGTACCGTCTCCCCACTTCAGGAGCCTGGGTGACCCCCAGTCGTGCGCCTCGCCCAGGAGCCATGCATTGCGAGGTGGCCGAGGTACTTTCAGACAAGAGGCCCAAGGAGGCCCCCGGTGTCCCAGGCCCTGGTCTTGGAGCGCACATGGCCTTCAGGGTCACGGTGAGTGGCGGTGGCTGCGTTGATGGAGGCCCGCGGGACTTGCTACCTCGGCTGCCTGTGCCACCCCAGCGCACCCACGACCTCCTCAGGCCCCGAAGTCCCCGAGACTACAGCTCGTCCAAGGCTGCCTTCGCTGGAAAGGGTAAGTCGGGATCTGCCAAAGTGCCTGGCCGCGGGTGTGAGAGATTCCTTTGTAGGGATACTCTGGAGAACTTGGTGAAACTTTCTCCGGAGTTCCTCAGTTTCTCTTTTATTGTTTGGAACTAATTTGACAGTCTTGAAAGGATCCCTGCTTTAAGAAGCATCTAATTTAAACTCAATAAGCACATTTTGGGGAAATGTGCACAGAAAGTTCAGATTAAGTAACTTTGCTTCTGTATGTTTCTGATAAAGGTTGTGTGAAATGTCAAAATTTTATTATATGTTAGGGGGAGTAGGAACTCCTGTAACTGATATTTGTTTCTGAGTGGCAGAAAGCATACTTTGAAGTGTTCCAATTGCCTTAAATAACAAAAACCAGAGGCCTTCAGCAGGACCCTCTCCCCTCTTGGGACCTCAGTTTCCCCATCTGTCAAGTGAGGAATTTGTTATGCCAGACGGTTTCTAGATTCTTGATGGAAAAGTTTCTGAATCTATAATCCAGCCTGGGTCAGGTCTTGACTTAAAAATATCTTTTCTGTACTTGGTGCTCTGGAAGGGTCCTCTTGGCCAGAGTCATTTTTCAGTGTCCTCTGCAACCACTGAAGCTGGTGAATAGAAGGCAGGCCCAGTACAGGTCATGGCTCAACTCAGGGATGCCTTTGCTATTCTCACAAACATGCTCACCTCATCATAGTTAATTATTGAGCCATTATTTATAGGCTCCATGTTGACAGATAATTAACCAGAAATTGGAGAAATTGTTAAGGTCCTGTGCCCATCCTCCCCCTTTTTTTTTCTCCTTTGGGAGAAACTGAAACTTTGGGGCTTGATCATATCAGCACTTGGGACCTCTTCAGTCTTTTTCCAGGTGATTTTTAAGGAAGATGATAATTGTGTGTTTTATGGCTGTGGACATCCCTTCCTCAGCATCAGCCCAGCTCCTTAAAAGAGGTAGGCTGGCTGGCTTCCCAGTTTGGGGCCTGGTCAAATGAAATAAAAGTATAGTAGTTTTACTTTTTTAAAGAAAACACCTGACTTCATACACAAGAGCTATTTCTTCATATATATATATATATATATATATATATATATATATGTGTGTGTGTGTGTGTGTGTGTGTATATATTTTTAGTTGTAGATGGACATAATATTTTTATTTTATTTATTTATTTATTTTTATGTGGTGCTAAGGATCGAACCCGGTGCCTCACGCATGCAAGGCAAGCGTTCAACCACTGAGCTACAACTCCAGCCTCAAGAGCTATTTCTTGTCTTCTTGTCTTAAGCATCAGTCTCTTCTCCAAGAGATAAAGATCATAGTTTAGGATAGGTATGGGAAAGAATACATACAGAGTACTACTGCTGGAATACACATACAAAGTCTCTTTTACCAGGGAGAGAGAAGTGTTGCATAGCAAGATGAGTTATGTTTGCCGCCATGAGTCCCTGGCTTGCCCTGCTCCACACACGGTCCTCCCTTCCACACATACCCTCCTGTAACGACTTGTGTTTAAAAAAATCATGGCTGTCATCTGCAGATTCAGCCTTAGTGAATGCCTGTCCCAGACATAACCTTTATTCTACGCTGTGGTTAGAGATCTTTCATCTGATGCTTTGCCTACGATCTTTCTACTTGTAGTTCTCCAAACCCCAATTATTTTTGCTTATGTCTAAAATAAGGCATATTGCATTTGGAAAGGACAGAGGAGGATAAAGGGATAGGAGAAAGAGCCCCTTGCTTTGTACCTTAAATTGGACTCTGTGGTTACTTTTTCTCCGAAAGGATTTTAAACTGCTTTTCTTCACAGCCTCCTGGTGAGGCTGATGGGATGGGATTTAACACACCTTTGAAAGATGAGGAAACTGAGGTCTGCAGGTAGGGAAAGTGTCTGCTATGTAGAAGGCCACCCAGCAGCTCAGGGGCTCTGCCATCATCCCGCCTGGGGAGAAGGGAAATCTCAGGACAAGGACTAGGAGAGGTTCCGACCTGGCCTCTGTGTTGCTGTAGGCATATTCCTCACAGTCAAGCCAAGTGGCCTGAAAGGAAACCAGCACCCCCCAGGGGATCTTCAGCAGCCCTCTTAGACATGCCATTAAGGAAGAGGCACCGGGGCTGGGGATGTGGCTCAAGCGTGCGGCCCAGGTTCGATCCTCAGCACCACATACAAACAAAGATGTTGTGTCCGCCGAGAACTAAAAAATAAATATTAAAAATTCTCTCTCTCTCTCTCTCTCTCTCTCTCTCTCTCTCCCACTCTTTCTTTAAAAAAAAAAAAAAAGGAAGAGGCACCTTTTTGCTGTGCTCACCCCCACCAAAATAGTCAGCAGGCCACGTAACCCTTTGAAAATGAGGTGCCTAGCTCCAAGCTCTCAGGCTTATTGGAAACAGACAGAAATACCAATTTAAACATATTTATTAGCTGTGCTGGAAATGATAAGACCCTGCCACCTATGCTCTGTGGGATGCTGGAGGATGTTATTTCACTCCTCTGAGCCTCAGGTGTCCTCATTTATGGTGAATTTTCCCCGAGACTTGAATGTGAAAGAACTATCTTTGATGCCTGGTTATTTTAAAAATTACTAGTGTAAGGAGTTTAATGTTCTCAACCTCTGGTTTCTCGTAATAATGCCTACCTCATGGAATAAATAAAGCCAGGGTTATAAGAATGCTTTTTATACTAAAACCGTTGGAGAGGTCACTTTTATTAATTTGTGTAGGGTACCATGCTAGAGATGGTTGATAGTTTAGGTAAAGGGGGTATAGCCAGGAGGGAGAAAGATTTTATTCTTAAAACGTTGAGTGTGAAAGGTGCCAACTCTGGTAGGTGCCAACAGTGGTGTACGAGTCAGGGGAAGCTGAAAGGTGCCACGCTTCAGGTCTTCTGTGACCATTGCTGCCCAGTGACTGGAGAGAAGACCATACTGCGTGGTCGGGGGTCAGGTTTCAGATGATCTGTCTTCTGCTCCGGACAGATCCTAAGCAGAGGAAGGGAGTGAGTTCTGGAATTCAGCAGTATATCCATACTTGTTGGGTCCTGTGTGTTTCCAGATCTGAACCGGGAGGCACTGGGCATGGCACGACGTCATGGACTAACATTGTCATCATTTACAATAAGAATCACTATCTGTTTATGGCAGAGTCCCGCTTATCCAGATTCCAAACAGCTGGGAAGGACAAATTACCAGATGCTGCGTTTTTCTTTCTTATTATTAAACACCAGACACTGCTTTTATAAGTTCTGATGAGGAAAGAAGGTAAACATCTGGGCTTTCCGCGGGTGGACAGCTTTGTGGCGATGGCCGATGATGCTTATTCTCTGTGCACAGCACTTTACAGTTGTTTCCACACCTTCCCTCATCAGTCTCTGCCTACCCTGAAGCCTCTTCCAAAGGAACAAATGTAGAAGTGCTTTGCGTCTATAAAGTACAGGGCAGGTACTGGCTCTTGTTGACATGACTCCCATTTTATAGATGAACACATGCAGGTTCAGGGATTTGATCATATCTATCTACAGACAGTTAAGTGGCAGTTTGGGAGGCTTCCAGCTCCAGATATTTGATTCTGGTTCCACAGCTTATACCTTCTATACATGTGTGCTGGTGGCCCAGAGCTGATATATGTAACCAAGGCCTCATGAACATTCCCAGAGAATTTAAAATGTCTTGCTTTTGATATTTCTTCTGTCTTGAAGTTTTGGAAATTGGTAACCGGTCTCTATGCCATGTCTAGGAAACTTTGTAGTTTACCAGATGATTTCATGTGTCCAAAACCCAGATAATGAGGTCACCATTTAATCCATAGTGTCTCCCTGGACCCTTTCCACCACATCCCGAGACTGCATACATCCTAGCAAAGAAGGAGATTGATGGTCACTATGAACGTGAACTCTACCATTAGTAAAAATAGCTGCCGGGACATAGCTGTAAATGTCAGGAAGTACTGAACCTTGTAGCAAATAAATAAATAAATGGATAAATAAATAAGTCTCTGAAAAGAAAGAAAAAGAGGAGGAGGAAAGCAGTTGTAGGTTGTGTGTATGGACATCAGGGCTGGCGGTGGTGGGACATCATGGTTTCGGTGTTATTACCTGGTTGAGTTTCTCCATCTGAGCAAGTAGCCAGTAAGATGTACTGGAGAGGTTTGGAGAGGCCAGCGCATCCGTAATAGAAAGGTATGAGTTATTTTTAAAGCATTTCCCCCCTCCGGCTCTGGTGGGCAATTTGCTTGCATTTCATCCATTTTAAAGTGCTGGTCCTGTGATCCGGAAATAATCAGATCCAAATTTTTTTCGGTGCTTGAGGTTTCAAATAAGGGGGAGAAAAAAACCTGCTGGCCAAATGTCAGGCTCAGTGAGACAAAAGAGAAATAAGTATGTGTGTGGGTATACAAATGAGATAGGAGCATGTTGCGTCTACAGTCATGAGAGTTATGTATCCAACAAATCTTTTATAGACATGTAGCGGAAATATAATTCCTCAAGATTCCCTAAGAATCTTGTGCGGCTAGAATTTCTCTTCCCTTCCTGCCTCCCCAGCTCTCTAGAAGCTGCTAAGACTTGGCGGGCAAAATGGAAAGGGAATCATCACACGAGATCGTGACTTAATTTAAGGCCCTGTTTCTCGGTCATTTACCTGTGGCACTCAGCTGGTCAAGGTCCTGGGACCCTCCTGGGTGTGGAAGCGGGGTTGCTGTGTTTGTGCAAATTTCTTTGTATGCTGTGGTTTTTCTTCACACTTCTTCTAGGGGGGAAAAAAAAGACAAAAAACCAATCCCATCTCCAGTTATTCATCTCCTTGCGTTTCATTTGCGTGAGAAGCCAAGTTCGCCGGCACACTTATTTTTACAGTGCGTTAAAATCCCATTATAGGCATAAGTGCACAATGAATCATTTAAAAAATATACTCTTATGTTCTTTGTTCTGAATGTTGCATAATTATCATCATTTTCTTCGGTTTTATTTTGTGGAGTTTGGCCAGCATCCTAGAAAAGAGGAGAGACTA